TTTGGTTGGTTTAGTTTTTTTTCCTCTTTTGCAGTTGCAAGGAATTTTAGCCAAATTAGAGGCTTTGTTACCCATAATTTGGAATTCTCACTTGGATTTGACCAAGTCAGGTAGAGTTGGTCAAATCTGATGAGAGAAAGTCCAGAACAAACAGCAACAAGAAAAGCCCAATGAAATGACCACTGACTGCTCTAATGGTAAGAAGAAATTCAGACCAGCTGGTTGTTAAGCTTTAACCACGACAAAACCTCAATGCAGCTACTTACCTAGGGATGGGTCCCAGGCTGAAGACTGCTCTCTACCATCCTAGAAGCAGGAAAGAAACTCGAACTTGTCTTCCCTATTGGGAGCAAGCTCAAACTCCATAGAAGAGTTGCCTGCCTTCCATCATCATGCACCCAGGAAATCTTGCCTTCCTTATTGGAAGCAAATAAAACTCCAAAAGAAGGGGAGGGGGAATTGTACAGCAAATAAACTTTAGATTACGACCAAGTTTTGAGAGATCAGGGGTTCTCTGGAGTGGGTGCTCCCAGACCTCAGCAATTGTCCTATTGGTTTGAGCCGTAAGGTTAGCTCATGTTGCTACCAAGCACCAATAGATCTGTCAAAGGTCAGGGGCATCTCCACTCAGAATCCCTCCATGGCTGCCAAATGTGAACGCCCCAAATCTGAGACAGGTCTCAGTGAAATTAGAAGGTTTATTTTGCCAAGGCTGAGGACACATGCCCGTGACACAGCCTCAGGAGGTCTGACCAAGGTGGTCAGAGCACAGCTTGGTTCTACACATTGTAGGGAGACAAGAGACATCAATCAGCATATGGAAGATGAACATTGGTTCGGTCTGGAAAAGGCAGGGCAACGCCAAGCAAAGGTGGCACAACTCGAAGCCAGGAGAAAGCCTCCAGGTCACAGGTGGGTGAGAGACAAACGGTTACGTTCTTTGGAGTTTCTGATGAGCCTCTCCAAAGACGGCACTGAGAAACGCATCTATCTCAGTGAGCAGGGGGTGATTTTCAATAGAATCAGGGCAGGTTGGCCCTAAGCCGTTCCCAGCTTGACTTTCCCCTTTAGCTTAGTGATTATGGGAGCCCAAGATTTATTCTCCTTTCACAAAACAATACATATAATAAATAAGTGAATTATAGAAAGGTGAAAACTATGGGAAAAAAGAAAAACAGGGAGAAAGAATCCTGAGCACTGACGTGGGGAGGGCAGGTGCCAACTGCAGAACTAATAGCGGGGGCAGGAGGAGACGTTTTTCGGAGCAACTTCGAGTCACTGCTCACATCTCATGCCAATGTATTAATCCCAAGTCAAGGGTCAGATGGGGCACCTGGATCTCTCCAGTTGCCCACGTGGCTCTTCCAAGTGTACTTTACTTCCTTTCATTCCTGCTCTAAAACTTTATTTATTTATTATTTATTTATTTATTTATTTATGAGACAGAGTCTTGCTCTGTCACCCAGGCTGGAGTGCAGTGGCACAATCCCAGTTCACTGCAGTCTCTGCCTCTGGGATTCAAGCAATTCTCCTGCCTCAGCTTCCTGAGCTCTGGAATAACAGGCATGCACCACCATGCTTGGCTAATATATATATATATATATTTTTTTGTATTTTTAGTAGAGACGGGGTTTCACCGTATTAGCCAGGATGGTCCCATACTCGATCCACCTGCCTCAGCCTCCCAAAGTGCTGAGATTATAGGTGTGAGCCACCACGCCCGGCTCTAGCCAACTTTTGTTTTTTTGAGATGGAGTTTCATTCTTGTTGCCCAGACTGGAGTGCAATGGCACGATCTTGGCTCACTGCAACCTCCACCTCCTGGGTTTGTAGGATATAATAAATTCCTCTTCAAAGGTTTTAGCCTATAAATTGTTAAGTACAATGAGTTCTGAGATCCTCTCCAAACAGTGTGTCAGTACGTTCAGCTCTTCATTTTAAAGTTTAACTTCCTCGTTTTCTTCATCTCCTTGCCCCTAGTTTCAGTAAACAACCCCTTCCTAGCCTCTATCTCCTGCTCCATCCTGAGTCACCCCTGGTCACCTGCTCTGACCTGAGTCATCCTGAGTCACCAGTTCTGTAACCATCGTTCCCACCGAACTACTCACCCCACCACCCCGACTCGTACCCCTGCTCTCTTTAAAATAGCCAGTCAGAATTAGCTTAGGCTGTGCAGTCCAACCCTAGCCAGTAGGGAAAAGGCAATAGCAGTAGGGGCTACCTGCGTCAGGAATAAGAACCCCTTCCCCTCCCTTGTTCAGGTGCGCTCTCGCCACTGCTCCATCCACGAGTCGCACCCTTCTATAGAAGTAAAAATTGCCTTGCTGAGAAAATTAAATTCTTTGAGTGCTAGTTCTTCTTTTTGCACTGAGAAACAAGCATTTGTTTCTAACAGGTTCAAGCAATTCTCCTGCCTCAGTGTCCCAAGAAGCTGGAATTACAGGCATGTGCCACCACGCCTGGCTAATTTTGTGTTTTTAGTAGAGACAGGGTTTCACCATGTTGGTCAGGCTGGTCTTGAACTCCCGACCTCAGGTGATCTGCCTGCCTCGGCCTCCCAAAGTTCTGGGATTACAGGTGTGAGCCACCTTGCCCAGCCCCCAGCCAACTTTTTAATACACTTGCACTCCTGCTCTGAAACCGCCCTGGGCCCCCAACCCGCCCCAAGCCCCCCAAAAAAAATCCTTCCCTCCAAAAGCAAAGAACTGAGTTGCTGCAGACCCATAGGGATTCACTGCTGCTAACAGTTTTAGAAGGATCTCCCTGGCAGCTGAAAATAGGGTAAAAACAGGGAGTTAAGAGGCTTTACCCTTGTCCAAGTGAGAGACAGAGGTGGCTCTGACTATGGGGGGAGCAAAGACACTGGTAAGAAGTGGTCTGATTCTGGACACATTTTGAAAGTAGAGCTGACACGATGTCTTTCCAAATCAACATGAAGCGTCGAAGAGAGAGAGGAATAAAGAAAAATCAACATGAAGCTGGAGTGCAGTGGTGCCGTCATGGCTCACTGCAGCCTCCACCTCCCGGGTTCGAGCGATCCTCCCATTTCAGTGTAACCACCATTCTTACCTATCACCATAGATTAGCTCTGCCTGTCTTTGAACTTCATGTAAATGGAATCATGCATATATAGGCTCTTTTGTGTCTGGATTCTCTCTGTTAACACTGTGTCTGTGAGACTCACTCACGCTGTGTGTAGTGTTATACTTCATCCTTTTTGTTGTTGCACAGTATTTCATTGTATAAATATACCACAATTTATTTACCCATTTTCCAATTGCTGGGCATTTGGATTGTTTTGTTTTTCACTATTTTGAATAAAGCTGCTATGAACATTCTTGTATATGTCTTGGGTATACAGACGGTCCCGGTTTACAATGATTTGACTTAAAATTTTTTGACTTTATGATGGGCTTATCAGGGTATTAAATGTGTTTCTGACTTACAGTATTTTTGACTTACCAAGTGTTTATTGGGACATAACCCCTTCCTCAGATGAGGAACATCTGTATATATCCAGAATCCTGTGGAGCAACTCGTAACCCATGAGGACTGGGAGCCGACAGACAGATTCATCCCCAGGACAGATGGTTCTCAATACATCTCATAAAGCTTCTTAGAAGATCTTATAGGATCGCACAACCAGTCAGCCACAGCAGGGGCCGACTGGATAACACGGCTTTGCACGGGCTCTCCCTCTGTCCCTGTCTCCCCTCCCCTTTTCCTAACCTTATTCCTTGGGATTATGTTTTGAAATAAATTATTCAGAGAAATGAAGCTAAAGCTGACCAATTAGCCAATAGCTGGGTTCTGTGCCAACAGGGTTTCCAGGCTATAATCATTTACGGAGAAGCCTGTGTTCCCGAGGGGATAATGGCTCTTTCCATTCGGCTACCGCATGGGAGTGGGTGCAGGGCATTAGCAGAAGATAAGGCCAGAAATGGGCACTGGGGCCTGTTGATGACTTTCTGTGCCAAGTGTAGGCATTTAGCCTTTATTCTGTAGGTGATGGGAAGCCAGTGCCAGTGGTGGGTTTGAGCAGGGAACTAGCAATACTCAAGCTCTGCTTGGACAGAGGCCAGTCAGGGAGGAGTTAGGGCAGGGGGACCGGTCGGGGAGGAGTTAGGGCAGGGGGACCAGTTAGGAGGCCGTGACCCAGGACTTCAACAGCGGGACTAGAAAGGGGATGGGTATGAATGATATTGCAAAGTAAAACTAGAGAGATGGCCGGGCACAGTGGCTCACTCCTGTAATCCCAGCACTTTGGGAGGCCAAGGCAGGCGGATCACGAGGTCAGGAGATCGAGACCAGCCTGGCCAACATGGTGAAACCGTATCTCTACTAAAAATCCAGAAAAAAAAAAGCCAGCTGTGGTGGCGGGTGCCTGTAATCCCAGCGACTGCAGAGGCTGAGGCAGGAGAATCGCTTGAACCAGGGAGTTGGAGGTTGCAGTGAGCAGAGGTCACGCCGCTGCACTCCAGCCTGGGCAGTACAGTGAGACTCCGCCTCAATAACAAATCAAACAAACTAGAGAGACTTGGCACCTTGCAGAGAGAAGCAAAAGATGACCCCGAGGTCTGGAGTCCAGGAAGTCAGGACAGGGAAAGCATTCACAGAAACGGGAAAAGGGCAGGTGTGGGAGGGAATGTGAGAGGTTCATCAGACCCCACAGCCCCTGGCAGCCCCTCCTGGATCTTTGAAATCCTGTGCGCCCCAGGAGACTCCAGGAGGCCCATCTGAGCTCACCAGAGAAAGGTCTGCCGCCTCTCCTTTCATCACTGGGGACAGAAAGCCTGAATGTGAGGCCTGGACTACGGGGCTCAGACCAGAATATTTCCAGGCTTAAGGGCAGTAATGTGGAGCCCGGGAAGGAATATTGAGAAAAGAGGGCACATTACTTAGCTAAAGGGGTGCTGGGTTCTTATTTTCTACTTTCGAGAAATGTTTGCTATAGTCATTGTAGCCGTCAAAAAACAATGAATAATACCGTGAGCCAAACGTATGTTTCATAATTTTTATGGCTGATCCTACGCACATTTAAATGTGTTTATGACAATTGTAGATTTCAGTTTTGCTCTGGTTAAACCAATGTGGAAGTACACAGGATGGGAGCTGAGAGACAAGCTACCCTGGCCAGCCGTGCTGACCTCAGTGGGGCAAGCTGGGGACAGATGACCTCTGCTGCGTGGGTCCTGCTGGCTCAGGTGTGGAAGGGGCCTCAGGAGAGGAGTCAGGGTCTCTTTCTGATCCCCTCACGGCCACGGAGAAGGGAATTCCTGGGAGGCTGGTTTGGAGAAGCCGCTGAACCTAAGTGAGTGGGAAGTGAAGGTCTGTTCCCACCTGTGCCTGTGTTCCCAACTAGCAGCTGCCCCGTGGCGTACACTCACCAGGAGCCACGTCCCTCCCTACCTGATCTCAATAATTCACTGACAGGAGCCACGCCCCTCCCCACCTGATCTCAATAATTCACTCACCAGGAGCCACGTCCCTCCCCACCTGATCTCAATAATTCACTCACCAGGAGCCACGCCCCTCCCCACCTGATCTCAATTAATTCACTTACCAGAGCCACGTCCCTCCCTACCTGATCTCAATAATTCACTGACAGGAGCCATGTCCCTCCCCACCTGATCTCAATAATTCACTCACCAGGAGCCACGTCCCTCCCCACCTGATCTCAATAATTCACTCACCAGGAGCCACGTCCCTCCCCACCTGATCTCAATAATTCACTCACCAGGAGCCACGTCCCTCCCCACCTGATCTCAATAATTCACTCACCAGGAGCCACGTCCCTCCCCACCTGATCTCAATAATTCACTGACAGGAGCCACGTCCCTTCCCACCTGATCTCAATTAATTCATTCACAGGAGCCGCGTGCCTCCCTACCTGATCTCAATTAATTCACTGACAGGAGCCACGCCCCTCCCCACCTGATCTCAATAATTCACTGACAGGAGCCATGTCCCTCCCCACCTGATCTCAATTAATTCATTCACAGGAGCCGCGTGCCTCCCTACCTGATCTCAATTAATTCACTGACAGGAGCCACGTCCCTGCCCACCTGATCTCAATAATTCACTCACCAGGAGCCACGTCCCTCCCCACGTGATCTCAATTAATTCACTCACAGGACCTAGGTCTCTCCATACTTGGCTTAATTCTTACTATACTTAATTCAATTAATTCTCACTATAGCCCTATCAGACAAGCTCTAGGATACACATGAGGAAATGGAGGCTCAGAAAGACTGAGAAAGTGGCTTGAGGTCACCTAGGTGGTAAGTAGTAGAGCTAGGAGTTGAAGTCAAGTCTGACTCTCAAGCCCATGCTCTTTCCATCGCACTATCTGCTTTTCTTTCTGCCCAAAGCCACAGTATGCCATGATGCAGCCCAGGGCTCTCCTCCAGTACTGGGTTGAGGGCACTGGACAGATCAGGGCTGAAGCCAAGATGTCATCCAGTGTAATGCCCACATGACTTCCGTGAATACCTACCCTGCCTTAACTCTGTTTATCTTTAGGAAACAGGATACCTGAGGTCCGAACTTCTCCCTGGTGATCAAACCAGCTAAGACTGATGGACTCCAAGATGGCAGCTCACTTGACCTTTAACTTCATTATAATCTAATGTCCATGCTAAATGACAGTCCCACTAACACTGTAACAGTCAACAACCACCATGACAATGATTAAAAAACAAAAACAAAAAACAAATAGGAAGTTGGCACTCTGGTTTTGAAAAGTTCTCCACCCAGACCCAGAAAACACATGATTCCTCCCCTTGCTTTTTTCATTTTTGTTTTTGTAGAGACGGGGAGTATCACTATGTTAACCAGGATGGTCTCGAACTCCTGGTCTCGGCAATCCTCTCATCTTGTTCTGGGTTATGGGAGTGAGCCATTGCTCCTGGCCTCTCCTCCCCTTGCTTTTCATGCTCAGCCCCTTCACTAAAGGTGCCCTATATCTGTGACTTCCTGGGTCTCACGAGCAGAAAAGTTGATTTGTGAGCCAAGCTCTCACTTCTCAATTCCATGGCACCAAATAAAGCCTGCACTGCTTGAGGCTCAGTTTGGGTTTTGCATATTGGCTTCATGGCACCAAACAGGGAAAGACCCCATTTTAGGGGAAGTGGCTTTGTCAGTAACAAGGACACAGAAGGAAAGAAGAGAATGGAGGATGACTTAGGGCAGGAGGTCAGCCAACTACGGTCTATGGGCCAAATCTGGCCACTGCCTGTTTTTGTGCAACTCATAGGCTAAGAATGTTTTCTACATTTTTAGATGGTAGGAAAAGAACAAAAGAAGGAATAATGTTTTGTGACACATGAAAAATATACGAGATTCAAATTTCAGTGTCCACAGAGAGCAATCCTGGCTCCTACCCCTACAACAATCATTGCAGTGGAGCTCTGCCCTAGATACAGCCCCTTTCTCCCTTTGGTTCCCTGACTTTGGGGTCTGGAGGCCACAAAGGCAAGGAGCAGGCTGCCATCCACCCCTTCTCAGAGAACCTACAGGGAGCTCACCATGCTCTGCATCCGGTCTAGGTGGCTCCTAGCGGGGCTTGGTGGGTTCTCCTTCCTCAGCACCATCTGCAGCACCACCTTGGTCATCTGAGAAGCTGAGAGAAACACCAGGTGAATGTTCTTGTCCTCATTTCTGCCTCCCACCCCCACTGCTGTTGCTCA